TGAATGGAGTCCAATCACCATCCACTCCCAATGGATGCGTCGCATTCTGTAACGTCCGGACCTGGACATGCATAGAGGTGGTGTGGTCGCTTAGAGTCATGCAGCGCATGCCCCTGCCTCCTCACACCTGTGGCCATGCATAAGCAGAAGCATATCTGTCGCAGCAAGGTTGCGTGCCGAGCCGAGTCTACATCTACCAACAATGATGGCAAAGCTGTCGTCGTAGCATTGCAGGATTTTGTTAGCAGTCTGCGTAGTGTGGTCAATGCTTGCGCAGCAGCGATCCCCGGAGCCAATGCCTTTGAGCAATGACGTTCTTTCATCTCCCTACCGTGCAGAGTGGTGTAAGCAGTCCAGCGGGCCTACGTGTGAGTTAGCAGAGTTAGCATAAGCAATTTTCAGGCAAGTTCTGTGTACTTAGTCACAAGTTAATTACGCTAAGTGTCACTCGTACCAGCAGCAGGCCTCTTGGCCTACACTCACCTCCTAGATAGCCCTCAGAGAGAGAGGTGGCCTTCACTCACATCAAAGTCTGGTATGGCATGTGTCCCCACCGCTCAACGCCTAATGGGTTGCAGCCAGCAGCGGAGCTTGAGGTTCTTCTTGGTGGCAAACACAGAGGCCAACCCAGTCTTTCCCTTGACTATGGTAGGAGGCACTTAGACTTTTCAGCTGGTCATCAAGGTAGTGTCTCACTTGCCTCATGCAGTAGTAAGCCGCTATTACACACACACAGATTCCCATTAAACATGGGTAACATATATAAAATCAAAGCCTCTAATAACAACTACATTGTGAGCACACGTATTAGAGTCATTAAACACAGTCTGGTTATAACTTTCATTACTTAGCACGTATTTACATGTTGTTCTAGAACACACTTTCCCTAATCATTTTAAAATGCAAAACTTTGATTCTATATCCAAAGACTTTGAATTGTTTTGATGTTAAAGTAGAGAATAAATTACAGGAACAACAAATTTCCATGTATTAAATCTATCAATCACTTTGGAGTTGCAACTTTCCAGATAGGCTCAGTATTCCATTCTGATCATTGGAGGTGGCATATAGCTTTCACAAAACATACTCTAAGTAGGTATGCTTTTTAGAAGGCACATAGTCACAGCCAAGTTGCAATACAAAATCAAACTTTCTGGTGAGAATCTTGAATTCTGTTACAGCTTCAGAAAAATCAAAATGCAAGAAATTCCATAATAGAAAGAATAATGCGTAGTAAATCTGTAAGACTAGTAAAATATGTGATTTGAAAGCAGTTTAAAAACTGACTGTTCATATTTTCAAAATCACTGTTATTTTTCTTTTTTTGAAGAAAAAGTAATCTGTGGCAAGAAATGAATCAAGGGTCTTTTAAAAAAAGACCGCTAATGTTATTTACAAAAGTATCACCTATGCTTAACAAGCTGGAACTTGAGATACCATTATAGTCTAAAGACCAATTCCTGTGCGTATATTTAAAAGTTCTAATTCAAAAAGACAATATTTTTTCGTAAGTGGCAAAAAAATCACAGAATTTGAATATGAGGCTGCATTGCTAAATTTCAGATTTAAGGGAAGACACAGTACTACAGCCAAAACACATTTATGTCAAAATTGAGCAGCACACAGAAAATGCATCATTAGGTGCTTTACCTCTAATGGAGTCTGCAGAATTCCAGCAAGTTGCTTTGCCAGTTGCATATGGTAATGTGTCCCAGATCCATGTGTTTCCCTGGTAACTGGATTAGCTATTCCCATACTCAGCAGATAGGATTTGAACCTAACAGTCTAAAAACAAACAAACAAACAAACAAAGCACCTTTGCTTTTAAGAAGAGGTCAAAAGAAAAGGCGACATGTTAGCCACTTTAACTAAAACAGAAAAAAAGAAACGATCATTCCAAAGTGTTCTTTACTAACATGAAATATGTTAGAGAGCTTTTTGTTTTGCTCTGCAGATAAATGTTTCTGTTGAGTCTAAAAACAAAGTTAATTTACCTCATCCTCAGTGATGTCACCTTGTTTTTCTTTAATTTTATTAGCTATTGACTTGGATAACTCCACCATTTCCTTAGCCTATGAAGAAAGACAAATGTATAAGTCAATTTTCAGCGCAACAGAAACAGGGTGCTCCAAAATGAGGAAAAAACAGCCCATGTCCACCAAGAGGGGTGCCATACCTTGTCCATTAGTTTACTAAGGTCCTCGAAAGCCTGCAACAAAAAGCAGACATTACAATTAAGTGTAATTACATCATTCAGGATCACAGATACAGCCAACTGCCTCTGTCCACGTACGGGTACCTGTAACAGCTGCCTTCTCTTTAGCTTAGTATATTACAATTTAAAATTTAATATAAACGGCTCATACATGAATAATCAGTTTTATACACAAAAACTAGACAAGTCAGAAAGCACAAAGCATGAAGGAGGATCAGACAGTTGCACATTTTTCTAGTATGCAAACACTAGTTCAATATGATTTACAAAGTTCATATAATAGGAAAGAACTTACGAGATATTAAGACCCAGAAGACATTATTTTCACCAACTTTTTAATGCTCTCCTAGGACATGGGGGAGGGTTTCTGGGTGATGGCATTAGGTCTCCTTCAAAGAGTCCGCCCCCTCTGAAGGAGATCTGTTGTTTCCTGCCAGCAGCAAGCCAGGGAAGGGTGCCTCCTGACACGGCAGTTTTACTTTATTCCTTGCTAAGTTAGTAAGACTGTGGTTAACTTAAAATGAGCAAGGACAAGGGCATCTGCTTTTAGATATATGATCAACTGAAAAGACAAAAAGTCTGGAAATGTGTGGCAACATCTTTTCATCTCAATCTCCCACATGTAGGAACGATTGATGCTACCACCACAAGGGAAAAAAAAAAGGTTAAAATTTAGAATGAAATAAGGTCCACGAGCTAAATTATCAGATCTGCTAAAGCAAGGAAAAAAATCTGATTTGTACAAAATACTACATTTCTATTCTACTGAAAGTGAGTTAACAAACATATTAAAGCCATTAAAAAGCAGCTCTCATTTCTCCTAGCCTCCACGACCAAAATTGAAGTCTCTGCCCAGATTCTCAAACCCACCACAAGATGCTAAAGTGGGTGGTCAATCTTTCTGGATGACTTTTTTTGTTTTATGATTGGCATGAGAACAATTCCAGAGCCTTTCCAGGTAAAGTTGGAGAGCAGCTCCTGCTCCTCTTCACATCCACAAATAAAGGCAGGTCATTAGAATAAGTCTTCTGGCCACAGACACCTCTGGCCATCCTGGCTAATCTTATAGCAATAACAGTATTGCTTCTTACACAGTTTAACAGCTTCCTAGCTGATCCCAACCAATTCACAAATACATGTTAGCCTATTTCCAGCAGCAAGCATTTGACTTGGCAAGCTTATTGGTCCAATGCACCACGTGCAAAGAACAAAAAAAGATGTGGGTACAGTTTACTTGTCATCTGAATTCCCTCCTAATGGTGCCAGTGTCTCTGCATGGGCTGGAGAAGTTTCTGTTGACTTGACTTCTAGAGCTTGGTACTTGGGCGCGGATGCAAAACTAGGTGGGACAAAGCTGGATCCAAATGGGTAAGAGAGAATATACCACTTTATAAAAATGACCTGCCAGTATCAGAGCAAAAGCTTTTCTTTTAAAACACTTCTCTTTACTTCCTAATCTGCCATATTTCCTAATTTACAATAGATTCCCCAATCTCCACTGTAAAACAATGTGCTTCTACTGTACTTTCATACTGTATCAACAAATAAAAAGTTTTCTGTCAAGGCTTTACCCACCTTATTTCTAACCTCAATACCACGCAGGAAAACACCATTCATGACAAGAACCCCTGATGTAGCTGAAGAGACAGGGGGCTGCGTGCGACTCGGCCGCTGCCGCCGGACTCACCCAGGGCCCGCGGGAAACAAAGGGGACCTGCACACACCTACCAGGAACTTCCTCCCATAAACAAAGGGCTAAAGAGCTGCACTCTTATCAGCACTGAACAGCACATGCAGGAAGCCTTTGCCTGGAAGCCAGGGCACTATTTTTTTAAAATTAAGTCATTTATAACATTCAAAGCTGGGGGAAGGCAGGATTGCACTAGTCCTGGTTTTCCTCTGTTCATACAACAAGCAGAAATGGATTTCTTTCACTCTCTAACGGAATTACTACAGAAAAAAACAGGCAGACAATATATTTTTAACTATATGTGACTACAATACACATGTAACTACAATACCTCTTAAACTACACACACAGAACTTCATTCATTATATTCTTCATAAGCAGAAATAATAATAAAAAAGTTTAACTTAGCAGTAACTGAAATAGCATACCGCCTACAAACTCCCATAAATTTCTTGTAAATCAGAAGGGCAAATGCGTTTTTTATTGTGGTGCACTGAATCCCATAAAGTCCTGCCCTAAGAATTGATCCACTGTAGTTAATTTGTGACTAGATTGCCTGACATTAATCTCTTACTAAGACAGAACCAGACAATTTTTGAGGGGCCTGGAACATCTGCCCTATGAGGAGAGGCTGAGGGAGCTGGGCCTGTTCAGCCTGGAGAAGAGAAGGCTGAGAGGGGATCTAATCAGTGTATATAAATACCTCAAGGGAGGGAGTGCAGAGGACGGTGATGGTCTCTTTTCAGTGGTGGCCACTGATAGGACTAGAGGAAATGACCGGAAACTGAAACACCAAAAATTCCATAGGAACTTAAGGAAAAATTTCTTGACAGTGAGGTTGACAGAGCGCTGGAACAGGCTGCCCAGAGAGGTTGTGGAGTCTCCTTCTCTGGAGATCTTCAAAACCCGCTTGGACGCTGTCCTGTGCCACATGCTCTAGGTGACCCTGCGTGTGCAGGAGGGTTGGACTAGATGACCTCTAGAGGTCCCTTACAACCTTAAGCATTCTATGATTATAGTTGCCACACATGGCATAGCTGTGAGCAAATGTGGCATTACTGATTCCCCTTGAGCCTGTGCTGTGATAACATAGGCACAGTGAGGGCACCCAGGGCATTTACTAGTTGTTCACATGACTCAAGGTGCCATTTTTGTCTACTCCCTATGGGCTTGCCCATTACTTTGAAAATGTTGTCCAGGAAGCCACAAATCTTCTACATCTCAAAATTACATTCCAAGTAGTTTAGGAGGTGGTGACACCTTGCCCTGAGACATTTCAAAGGCATCAGTTTCTTGAGAATAATGGTGATGTCTGTCTGTTCTGGGGGAGGTTCTCACAGGAGGTGGTACCAAGCTGCTTATGTAAGTCTTCTTCTGCAGTCCATGTGGGACTGCCCCGCCATGTGGGACTCCTCCCTCTGCTCAAAGTTACCTCATGCCATCTGGGCAATGGGTATTTCTCAGTCAGCATTTGAGTTCGAAACTGGCACTTCTGAAGAGAATCACCTTTCATCCTCCCTTGCCCTGCATTGTGTCACATCACAAGCGGCTTTGAGGCCTGTGAGCTGAGCACTTTCTGCTGGATGAAAATAAACCAGAAGATATGCTCCAGGAGCATAAGTAGTGCCCTTCAGCTGGTAACAGGCAACCTGTCCACAGGACCAAGTCTGATATAAATCTGTTCAACACTGCAATGAGGACACTGCCCCTGGCCTCCCCAAAGCCGTCTTTCTCACATCACAGACCTACTGCCACCGCTCGGTTGGTGCAGGCACAGCCAGTACGTGTCCACCGGGCTGTGCCATATGCCTCTCCCAGAAATACTGGTCCACACTCGGGACTAGAGCGGCAGTAGTGACATGTCCTGCTGACATCTATTTGCTCTGACAGCTAAAGTGCAGCCTCCAGTGATACTTGCATCACACGCAGATTATCTTATGCGCTTTAAACAACAGCATGGCCCGTCCTTCACAAGTGACTGACCACAACTCCCTGCTAGCGCCTGCAGAGCATCTGTCCCATGGGAAGGGGGTGGGGAGAATGAGGGTCCGTGCCAGCACTCTGCAGCATCTCCCCCCCAAGTTGAGGTTATTCCAGGCATTCGCGCCTCCACTGAGCACTGGGGCATTCAGCTCTGGGAGATTTTGCTGGGATTTCACCAAAGTGGTTTTTTTTTTTTTTTTTCCCCTCAAACAAGCCAACTATTGGTGATAGGTGAGAGCTCAGTGTACTTCTAATGGCATTTCTAGTATACACAGTAAAGGAGAACAGCCTGAAGATGCATATTCTAATGGTTCAAAATCCAGACGGCATAAAATACATGTAGCATTTTATTATTTATCAAATGCTGTGAGCTTGCAGCCAAAACAGTCTGAGCACTTAGAAACCAAACACATAACAAAAGTGATAAATAAACATGCCTCATTGCAAGTGCCAAGTGCCTAGTACTTGCAATGCCGGATGAGGAACGGGAAGATATAGAAATATCCAAATAGGTCCCCGCTACCCATCTCAAAGCCCAGTGCTGCTGTCAGCAGGCAAGGGCCAGCGGTCATCGGTCCCACTGGATATCATGGGTGTTTTAAAGCTAAAAAATAACATAAAGAAACCCACTCCCTGTTCTGTCCTCTCCTGCGCTCGCGGGAGACCGTTACTGCCGTTACACCGCCCCTCTCCCACCGCAGCTGTTGGGGCTCTTCCCTCCGCGCCGCGGGGAGGCGCGCGCCGCTCCCAGGGTGGCTGCCGC